CGCGCGACTTGGCGGACTTCGATCGAGCGCCGCGCAACACGTGTCCTTTCCGTCGTGCTCTTTCGTGCGCGAGAAACGAGATTTTTAGTAAACAAAGCGCAACGCGAATCGACGATGATGACTGTCGCATTCTCTCGTGAACTTATTTTTAGGATGACGTTTCGAATGATTTTCGGGAAATTTCCCGGCTACTCGTGAACGTGCGACTTGCTATAACTACGATTCGATCCAGTTTGGAGAGTCTCTTTAAGAAACATACGTATAAAAGTTGTTTCGAGTGCAGATATTTGTAATTTTTCAGTCGCGAAATCCTGGTGCGAGATATCCGAAGCCCGATAAACCTCAACTAATTTTCTTTTGATTTATATTCATTTATTTATTTATTTATTTGTGGGAGATGTACTTCGATGCTTTTAAGAACCGAAAAAAACATATAAAAAGATACATAGAAAATACAAAAATAGTGTAAAGATAAAAAGAGAAAAAAGTAGAAAGTATAATAAGAATAATAATACGTTACTTCTGAATGTGCCTGGGTTGAGGTAATTATAAACGGCGTTTTTGAACGCAAGGATATGTGATAAAGATCAATGGTATCATTAAGATTATTAGCGAATAAAGAAAACCGATTCAGTGGTTTAAACCACACATAAAAAATATGATAATAACATTGTGATAATAACAATGTTATAATTTCCTATTCGACAATGTAATTGTCATAAAACGAACAAAATATGTCATATCGCGCTTACATTGTTGAGTGAGAAATTATAACATTGATATAACAGTAGGGATAGGCGATACAGTAGAAAATATCGATATTTCATATCGACACGTGTTGCAAATTAACGCTAACGCTATCTCACATTTTTGGATATACCGACGGTTTTTATTTACAACACATATCGATAAGAAATATCGCTGTTTTTTTCCGTATCGCCCGTCTTTAAATATAATGTTACTCGGTTGTTAGTTCGTGTTTACTGGGAGATAAACGTATGATTGAATCAAACTCCCTGCCGCGTAGTTCCCGGTAACGCTATGAGCACCGAGACACTTTTATCGCGAGGATTGTTTATAATTTTGCGTTTCATTTCTAAGAGTTTGATTTTCCTTCGGAGCGACGAGCGTCGTCGAATGGACAGACGTCAGGTGTGCGCGAGAGTTTCAATCCTTCGACTGCGTGTGAAAGAAAAAAGAAAGAAACTCGCGAAGAAAAGACCGGAGGCCTTTGCATACTGATAATGACGATAATTTCTCCGCGCGACCGAGCTCGCGATCAGCGGAGAAGAGAAGAAGCTTATCGGCGCGATAAGCTATCTTCGGCAGCGCGATTCCGTAGATTGGGTCATCGCCTCGTCCTGAGATACGAGGGTGAGACTGATGACCTCGCGCGTGGATGATCGCTCGGTCCGTCTTTCGCAGAGGTTTGTTCCCGCACTCCTCCACGTGTTCATCGAGTCGCCGCTCGCTCGCGCGCGTAATCTCACGCCGCTTACCACGTGTTCCTCCTTAAATAGACGGTCCGCGCGCTCGGAGGTTCTATTTAATCAACTTCTTCACGGCTTATCTATGCCGCGCGGATGCGCCGGACAACTCAGATAGACGTGTTGTAAGAGTTATTGACGTCTCCGCGGCTAATTGGCGTATCGACCGCCGCTCATTCGAAAGAGATAAATTATTATCGTTTCGGGAAACACGGAGGTAAAGGTTCCTTCTTGCGAGAGACGCGCTCTCTCGTTTCGCAACGGCGTCTTTTGTTTCTGAACAAAGGAAGCAAGAGAGATGCTGAGAATCGTTTGCGATTCTAAAGGATAATTATGGGACCAATAATTATGGGATGAAAAAGATTCCCCGATGGACTTGAAATCGATTTTTTCATTTTTTTTTTTTAACGAAAGCGAGATATGAGGTTTCCTCTTCGGGCAGGAAAATTCGCGCAGCGATATAACCGTAAGGATACAACGCAAAACGAGGTCTCGCATATCAGCAGTTAGGACTTTAGCAAAGAGGCGAGAGATGCGAGGAATTTTCCATTGTTTTTCAGTCCGCTTACGTGCAACGTATGAAAGTGTGTCTCGCATAGAATTTCCACTGGAGATAAGCGATAAGGAGATATATTGTGTTACTTGATTTCCTACCTACAGTCGGCTTCAATATGTAAAGAGTCGACTGATCGTGCCCAATTAATCATTAATGAAGCGTCCCGATCCAGTCTACTTTCAGTCACGCGCCCTGAGGGACTATTACGTTCCCAAGACGAGGTAAAAATGACAAAAAAGTGAGCCAATTTATTAGGCGTCGACTAATGAAATTATAAATATTCTGGTAAATTCGCTCACTTTTGTAATATTCACCTCGTCTTGGTAAGCGTAACAGACCGATCTGATAACGGGCGAATTAACAGTCGAATTTATTCTCAACAAGCAAAATAATTCGCGCGCTAATTAATTGTCCTAATGATCGTTTCGTCGTGATACACAATATCTGCGCGATTACAACGGTGAGAGAGACGAGGAAAACGAGATCATTACTTAGAGAGAAGTCAAATGATCGATAAGTATTCGGAAATCGCGAGACACGATTATTTAATAACGCGTTATTAATCACACGTGTTTAATTGTTTTATTTATTTGATTTTATTTATTTGATAAAAATTACACGTTGTTTTGGACAATGTCGGCTCGAGATGAGAATAACTCAATCCGACAGTAACTTACTCGATATATTACGATAAATTCTCCAATAATTTTGGAAAGTGGACGATTTAGAAAAAATTACGACAATAAAAGCTTTAATACAGGGTGGGGCAGTCAAACCCCCTTTTTTCATATAGCTCGGAAAAAAGTTAAAAAAAAAGAAAATTCAATTTATCGTAAGAAATCTTAAGTACACGAGTGGAAATTTATTTAGGCAATGAAAGGTTCACTTTTTGAAAATCATGTCTGGTAAATGACGACCGTTATTTTCCAAGACTGCACACCACACGGTTACTTTAGCGGAATGGAGTGGCCGTTCATGAAGTTCATTAGGGTTTTCTGGAGCCCAATAGCGAAAATTCTACTTGTTGACGTGTCCACTAAGATGAAAATGAGCTTCATCGCTCATCCACACTTTATGAATGAGTTGTGGGTCATCTTCTAATCTTTAACATTACCTCGCAAAAATGAACTCGAGCCGCATGATCACGAGGATTTGAAGCCTGGACTATTTGAATTTTGTATGGATGTAGGTGTAGGTCATCATGCAAAATTCTTCTTACTGTTCGGTTTGAAAATCCTAGAGCAATGTTGTGGCGTCGAGCAGATCTTCGAGGGCTTCGTTGCGATCGCAACTCGCACAGCTTCCACATTCTCAGGAGTGCGAATGGTCCTTGCTGTACCTCCTCTTTCCTTCGTTGTCCGACCTGTTGTTTCCAAATTTTCAATCCAATTCTTCATGGTTTTTCTGTCCGGTACAGGAGCTCGAGGCAAGAGATTAAAATGTCGGGTGGAACGCTCGTTGCGCGCCTACGTAGCTTTCACCATTCAGGTAAAACGCTTTAACGGCGAAACCTCGTTGTTCTCCGGTTCAACGCTGCATGGCTACTAAACTTCCCACTACCTAAAATGCAAAGGTCAAACCCCTACCCCTCCCCGATTTCAGTACTTTTTTTCGAACTATCTGAAAAAAGGGGGTTTGACTGCCCCACCCCGTATAAAACCCAAAGGTAGCTATTTGATCTTTAAGATATGTAAATCACTTTATTCAACTCATATTTTTCATAAAATATTTTAATACTGTTTATTGATACACTATAAATAATATATAATAATTAAAAAGAAAACAAGTACATAATAACTAGAGAGATTTAAAACGAATTTTTATCAGGATTTCCGAAACAAAAGGTGTGATAGTTTTAATCTATATTAAAATTACCAATAAATTATCAACCGTAATTTTACCGTAAACATGTCGTCACTATGAATCTGACGGTAATTTTACATCTAACGATCGGTAGAAGACGGCGTTCGCCCGCGAGATTGGCAACCTCGAAGATCCAGTTGCAAAGTACCGTTCAGATTGCTGCGATTATGCACGCTGGTGATATTCCTGCCGTCCATTCTGATCGCCGGGCCTATGTACCTGCGGTACCATGTATACTCCGAACAGCTGTACCCTCTGACAGTATCGGATCAGAGACTGATCGACGCCAGAATATCGACCATTTGGTGCCAAGTAAGATGTCTTACCGTTATCGTCTCGTTTCCAGGGATTTCCTTCACTTTCACGCAGACCTCACGTGTCAATTCTTGCAATAATTCGGGAACAATAAGGCACGGAGAAAATAGCTGTGGTTACTACAAAATTCTCCGTGCTTGTAACAAAAATGTACGCGAAATAAAATTAAATAGTTATCGTATTAAAATTTGTCGTTGACACATATCCATCTATTGTTGTCACAACCATATTCCCAGATAGCCAAACCTGCGCAAAGAAATTCCGAGCAGAGCCTGCTGCAAATATCTGACGGCAAAAAGGCAACAAATCTAACACAGGATCTGTTCTATCGGATTTGATTTATTATGCTGTCAAACTGTTGCCAGAAATGCGACCAGGCAATGCGAATAGAACGAAGCAGACAGACATTGGCTTGTTGTTCGTAGAGTCAATTGATCAAAGCTAACGCCACGTTCAACGCGTATCTGATGAGCGGCGAGCCAGCGGTTCAGAGCGAAGCGGTGCCCGTTTCGATGACGAGACACTTGATCCTGGAGGACGACATGAAGGAGTACTGGGGATTTTACCTGCTGCGCGGCAGTAGCGTCACCGTCTCGACCTGTGTAAGGTAGAGTTGTGGAAATCTGGGCTCGCTATTTCGCGAAATTCCACTTCGATATATAGACAGACGAGTCGTCAAGTTTTCCCTCACACAAAAAATCGATTTCTCGATTGAAATTCACTTAAAAATTAACGTCCGAAAACAACTGTTAATATGACGCGTTGTATCATACAAAGAAAAAACGGTTTTTATGAATCACATTCGGTCTTAAGAAATTCTGTTCCTTTCAACGCGTTTGGTTCGTTCAGTGTCACGTTAATTCGACCGATCCTTTTTCTTTGTGCAAGAGAAATTGATTAATTTCGTGTTAATTTATTTTAATTTTTATTTTATTAATTTATTAATAACATTTTTATTAATTTATTAATATCACATTAATTGTACGATCGAGTTACCGAACGTTCCATCGTTCGCAGATGGCCAGGTGCTTCTTTAACAATAATCCGTGGGCACAAGCATCTGCACGAGTGCGCCTTCATCGGAGACGATAGTAGCGAGGAGCTCGAGGAGCTTCTCGAGACCGCTCAGGAACAAGGACTTCTTACAACGAACGGCACCACAGAAGTGCGTCTCTCTCATCCGTCATGATCCGTGCTTAATTTGCAGCTATCTCTTCGCGCTCTCTTTGTGCGAGATATAAATTGTAGAACTGACGGGAAATATAACAATTTAATTTGTTCCTCGCAATTATTTTTCGTGCAATTATCAAAGAGCGCCGAGCTCCGTACGAATTTTAACCCGTTGGAAACGAATGAAACTTTGAGAAATGAAACAGCTGTTGGAACATACATGCACATCGTTTGTATTACTTGATTATTTCACGTGCGGAACGTGTTATTTCGCAATAATTTATCTTTTAATTGTTATACGCAGGCGACGAGTCTCAGCAATGTGCCTGAAAAGATGAGACGAGCCGGGCAAGATGTGCACTTTCATCACGAGGACGGCGTCCAGCGTTCGAACGTTTCCGAGTCGATCGAATATTCGCATCAACCGGGCGGCAGTCATGAGCTGGATGCCAAAGCGTTGCGAAATATACTCACTCAGATTCTCGCCAAGACTCTCGACATGAAGAGGAAGAAAGAGAATCCGCATCACCATTACAAGAGCGTATTCCGGGAGTCCGCCAATATTGACAAATTCGACAAATTAACGACAACCTCTACCACGAAACACTCGGAGATTTCGGGTCAGCCTCATCATCCTCTTCCTCGGCAAAAAGCGATTAGCAGATTTGGTAATCATAAAGAGACCTCGGAAAGTAGTACAGAGTGCGTTATTGTCTTTAATAACCGATGCTTTATTAATAGTTACACTCTGACAGAAAGAATATCTAAAAGGTGAAAAGTATTGATTCGGCGTATCGATATTTAATCTTAAGTCTAAATTCTTGCACTCATATAAAACAAACGATTGCTTCCATGGAAAGCTACGGTTTTAAGAAAATATATATTTTCTCATTTTCGAAACAATTTTTGGAAAATATGAATGTTAATATAAATAAATATATTATCAGTATCTAGAATGTGAAACACTTTTTAAATATTTTTTCTTCGGTGTATACAAGGTGTCCGGAAAATTTTTATGCTCGTGTACAGGTCAAGCTGAATAGGAGAGTCATGTAGCATTTTGCAAAATTTACAACGTGTTAACGAGGAATTAATTAATCTGTTTGAGCAAATGAGTGAATGGAAAGCGGTGGTTTGCACTTCGTAGGCATGTACGAAGAAAAATAACTAGCAGTTTATAAGAAAAAAATGGCTTATTTCTTAGAATTAGGCGGAGTAAGCAGCGAGCAACGTGTGACGAAGATAATAATCTTTCGTTCTTTCGTGACTGTTATCGTGACAGGAAAGTGACAGAGCACTATCATTTCCACACCACCTTTAGATATGTCTTTCGAGGCGGTGTCCTGTTTCATGCCGCTCGTTGCTTGCTCCGCCTCTGAAAATCAGTTATTAAGGACCACCTGCAGTAAAGTATACAGTAAGACGTAAGCAGTAAGCTAACTGATCAATTGGATTCTCACGATTCAGGAATAATCGACTGTGGTATCAATTTCTACTTCCGTTTAATTTTTGTTTAAACGACACTCTTTCCTAAATTGAAATTTGTATAAGTAAAAAAGTATGTTCGTGTTCTTCAGATCCAAGCTGATGTCTTCGAGTGCATCGTTTTTTTCCGAGGAAAAGTCGTCGGAAGAGGAAGAAGGAAGAAGACGACACGATGAAGCGAAACTCGAAATCCAAAAGAATTCCACGTCTTCTTCGTCTTCTTCTCTCGATGTCCGTCGAGGTTCGACGATATCCGACGTGCGAACGGAAACCGTCGTTTCACGGGAGACCATGCAAGCGGAAACGGAAAACAAACGGTTGGACTCCGCGGAGATGTTTCAAGATGTTCTGCGAAAGATCAGTTCCTTGGGCAGTCGTGGCAGACAGATGCTGCGTAAGCTGATGGACGAGATCGACGCCCAAGGTGTCGAGGGTGAGGCGCTGAGGCGACTGGTGAACGAAACGATGAATGACGAGAGATTGACGAGCGAGGCTAAGCACAGACGAAGGAGGGACCTGGTCCTCTCATCGCCGCTTTATCGGGATTTGACGTGGGAAGATGAGGACGGCGACGCTCCATTAGAAGAGGTTAGAATCTCGCTTCTTTATCTTATTCTACTTCCTTCATGAATTTGAAACATCTCACTGTGACGAAAAACGTTGTGACAATTCCAGAGAGAGAGAGAGAGAAAGAGATATGATAAGTAAATTCTATATTTCTTCAGGGTATGTTGAACCCGGACGGGATCGCGGAACACCGAGGCACCGTGAACGAGACGGACTTGAACGACAGGAGCAACTCCGAGTTCTGGAGTTCGTTTAGCAGCTCCGAGGAGCGGCTGCTGGAGTGTAAAGGTCTTATCTTGAACTTACCATTGACTCCGCATCGCCAATGCACACCCAAACACGAAAGCCGTCATGTTACGGCCTCCTTCGCCAACACCGTGACGTACAAGTAAGCATATAAATGTATTTGTGTATTTGTGGATTATTGGTGATGTCTCGCCTCTTCGAAAAAGAGACGTGTTTTCATAGGCGCTGTATCTATACGTTGATTTCAGCGTCGATTTCCACCGATTGCGCAAAATTAATTGACGATCGAGTTATCGAAGATACGACGTGTATATATTGATAACTTTCATCGGTTCTCTATGTTGATTATATTAGCTTGCAAAAGCTCGTCGAATTTTCATGCGAATCCCTTTTATCTAAAGTAATGGAACAATGCATACCATTAATTAAAATATCTGTGTTATCGATCACCTTTCAGGTCATAGCCTGATTGCGCGTCAGACTCATTTCTCGAGCCAATGAGATTATCGACGATCCGACGAGCTTTTACACAGGCTTTTAACAGGACTGATTATTTAGATGGAATAAAGTCACGCTTTAATTTAACGAGACGGTTATCAGTGATCACCGTGACGTCGAATACGTCGATGATACGTCTGAGTAATTTCGATTAATCGTACACCTGTTTGATTTGCGATGGCATTGTTACATAATTGGGCCGCAGAGTACCTCTAAACGGTTATTACTTCTTCGTGTTCAATTCGGAGAACGAGATCCAACCAAATTACGTGCGGGTGCAGTTCGACCTGCTGAAGACTGTCTACAACACGTCGAATCCGGTGTATTCTTGCAAGAACAGCACGAAGGAGTGCTCATTGCCGTTCAATATCTTCAGCAACGAAAGGACGATACTGGAGGTGCCGTTGAGCGGCAACGATTCGCAGTGGAACGAGGAATACATGGTGGTGTCCATGTGCGTGCCACGGACTACGATTTATTTCATTTGCGTCGTCATGGTGCCCCTGTTGATCCTTTGCTTCGCTTTTCAATAGAAGACTGAGTCACCGACACTCAGTATTTTCCCGATAAGATACCGATAAAGTCCCGAATAAGACCGTGTTCGGAAGGTGGCGCGAATTCGATTTGCTCGTGTAAATACTCGGTAGTTTACTCGATGTAAATTCATGTAGCGAGAAGGATGCGGCTGGTGGTTTCGAGATACTCCGTGTTGCGGTAACTTAATAAACATTAGTTTAGACGACGTGAAACCCAGATTTCGTCGATGAAAGCACCGCGAGATCGACCAGAAGATCTCGTGAAATCTGCAGCTACGATGAATTACATCTTCATTAGATTCGTTTCGCGTTTTTTCCGGTGATAAAAGATCTCGAATATCATTGAGATTGTGATTATACACTTCGCGAGATCGCAACTCTGTAGTTGCTGTAAATATTTTCAGTCGGTTCTCTTAGTCTGCGATAGCGACTCGCGCGGATTTATGCTTCAAGCGTAACATAAAGTCATAGATGCATTCAGAGTGAGATATTGTTCCTAATATGATACGCAACTTCGACGTTGAAATTCAACGTCGATTCTGACGCTCGCGGGCGATACGCAATATGATTAATTGTGACAATGTAACGTATATGTTGCTGAGCGGCGCAATCAATTTTTCGATTGCACACGTGCGAATAAAATCGATCTGTTGAATGATTGTAACGAATTTTGACCTCACCCCGAACATTTTCAGCATAAGTGTGAAAATATTGGAATGAATATTTTGAGATTGATAAGTGATAAGATGGTGCGATGATAAAAAAGTATCGTTTAACATTCTTGCATTATATGTACATACGTGTGAACAGTTATCGAGATGAAAATATCAAGCAGAAAATATTCACTTTTCGATTATCTTATTCCGGTACTTTATATACAGAATGACGAGAAATCGATTTATGTTAAAAAAAAAACATATAATTTTATTTAAAGAATTCAAGTCGGCCTGGATTTAATTTTGACAACGCCGTCTAAACTGTTTACACTGTTAGATGAATTCTTTCAAGCACTAAAACTTTTGTCTTCCCTTTGGAACATTTTTTGTAAAATGTTTGCTTTCTGAAATGTTAGACCGTGCGGAGACTTCTCGAACATCCTGTATAAATATATTTTGAATATTTCGAGACATGGTCAACCCAACGAAAATTGGAGCCGATAGTGCCTAGAAGTTGTCGAAAATAATCGTCTCGGACGAGCGCTTCGGCAAAATGTTGCGGCTTTTTGTTTAAGAAATATCCCCTTCTCTTCTTCTCTCGCTTGGTTGATTTTTGTTTCTTTTCACACAAGCGGCGATTTAATTTCGCCGTATTATATGGTGATTCGTGACACGGGCGAGGGGGGGGTAATTCGAGTTTCTAAACGTCTCACGTGCGTGCGTGCGTGCACATATTATAAATACGCGAGAAGATCGATGTGTCAGCGGGCGCGAGCGCCACACGTGGAAAACAAACACTAATAATGGGATTAGTGCGGGGCGGCTGGTTGACGGCGATAACGAAAATTGATTTCACCCTTCGCGCTCGACCCCGCCGCGGCACGGGGATGCTCCATTCGAGCGCGTTGACGTTCATGGGACGCTGCGCAAAACCAGCGACACGCCTCTCTCTCTCTCTCGCTTTCTCTTTTTCTCCTTCCCTCTCTTCCTTTCTCTTTCTCGTCGTCGGCACACCCAAGCGAGATCTCGATATCCCTGGTAGAACACCGGTTCGAACTGTTCAAAAATTGATTTTACCCCGTCGGCGAAATCGAAAACCATTCGGGGCAACCTCTCTCATTCCGCCGAATAAGCTCGCTGTGGGGGGGAAAATATTGCATCATCATGAAAATAACTTTTCGGTGAGACAAAATTTTAAGAGACATCGAGGATGTTCCGAAGAAGACCGGGTGTCTTTTCATTTCAGGATTGGAAATGGTGTGGATATACCACTCTAAATTCTATCTCGAATATGGCAATCTGAGTGTCGAAATTTCGAGAATAAATGCCCTCGAGTGAAATTTGACTCCGAAAGCAAAGTAACAGCGGAGTCACTTGAATTCGAGTGATTTTCTACTAATATAGGGTGAATTTTCCATTCTAAGTCGCCGAATGAATTTGATTTTCACTCGAAATTGAAGAATGAATCTGAAATTTATCCCAAAAATATATAAATAATGTGGTATAATTACGTCTTGAAATTAATTGAAGTGTTTATTTATTTATTTACTTGAATCTTAAAGAATGCTCGTTGCGGAGATTACGTTTGCGCTATAAATGAAAGATTTTTTTCATTTTCATTTCAACCCTCGAGTCGATACGAAAGTGGCACGAAGCTCGTCTGGTTGAAGAAAAAAAACATCTACGACAGTGGCTTACGGCAAGATGACTATTCAACGGCGACACTCGTGTACAAGTGAAAGTGCCGCTGAGATTTCGGGTAGGTAGGTAGGCTATTGAAACGAGAGAGGAGACGGAGGCTGCGCGAGTGTTCACCGCTGATAAGGGATGCTCCGCCCTCCCAACCTTCTCGCGGCACCGGTCGGCGTCCTCACGGTCGTAGAATCGCAGGGTCAAGTTGTCGGAGGGCCCGGGCAACGGCATGAAGTATTAATTTCGGATTAAGCGAACAAATCGACGGGAGATTAATTTTTAAGGTGCCGTAAACTGTGGAGAGGATCATCTCGACGCTTAATTAACAGTCACGCTACATCGTCCTGCAATTAATCCGCATCTTTTCCCCGGCGGGTTTTTTCTCGACCCGGCCTTTGGCTCTCAGCTTCGTCGATTCGGTCAGATCGTAAACGATCATTAGACTTTTTATTCTTACAGCAGACACGTGTCACGTTGCTGCCGAAAAAATTTTCCCTTCACGCAGTGTGCCGGATTATCGGATCGCAGAAATTTGCCCGCGAACGCCCTCGGGACGATAAAATTTTCATGTGGCGCACTTTTACCGCGAATGCATAAATCTTCCGGTGGACGTTGACGATTTCTCGGATTTTTATCGGGAAATCGACACGGGCCCGAGAGAGACCGCGATAAGGGCCACGCGCGGAGTCAATTGCGGTGGCGATACATTAATACCTTATTCTTATTCATTGGCACGCGCAAATTGGGCCGTGAGTTGCCAGAGCTGTGGGAAACCGCTGCAAAATCCCCCCACGAAATTCGACCAGGCGCCCGACGGGGTGCTTTTTATCGATTCCCCGCGATAGAACCTGTGATGTTGACGATTTTTCCAAATCTCCCGATATTCGCGACGATTATGCGTCACCCTGTTATCCTCGACCCCAACTTAAAATTAACTACTCTCATTATCACTGGCATTTATTTTTATCAATTAGAGGAAGAGCATCAAACCGATATATCACTCGTTTTTAGGGTTCTAACGCCTTGAAAGTTTGAAGCCGAGAAACACGGGTGTGTCGATTTACCGTACCCACGTCAGCTTCGGCGTTTTTCTCCGTTAAATCATTAAATGTACGTGTACGAAGAGAAATTTACCCTCGAGATTGATCATCGAACGTATTGCGCAATTGTATCACAGCGTGGAGACGCGCGAATGTGAAACGGCGGTGATGCACTCACGACGACTTTTTCCCAAACAATCAACTTTCGATTAGCCGACCGAGTCCCCGCGAGATCCGAGGAGAGTATGGAAGAAGAGGAAAAAAAAAGGCACGCAGCCCCTGCTTAGTATACATTAAGGGTGAGAGAGCGGCTATACCCCCTGTCGTCAAGTGGCCACCGGCCACAGCTTGTTTTATTGTGACACCTCGGGAGGGTGCCGCGGATTTTCCAGCAGGATGCGCCGGGGGTGTCATCGTCGCAGGCCGATTAGACGATCGTATCGCGGCCGGTGTTCATTCGAGCGCCATTACGAGCCGATCTGCGTGGGAGCTGGTTCTGTCTCGTTGCTGAGCACGGTGTGTGTACACGCCGGTGACGCGGGGGAAATCGATGCGACACGCGTCGACGAGCGGTTGTTGTCTATAAAATTCAAATTACTCAAAAAAAGAAAGAGAGAGAGAGAGAATTCGTCATGTTTTTCCCGATTGACGTGCCAAATTCGCATCGTTCGTAGTTACGTTAAAAAATACGCGACGATTTCCTCCCCCGTGCAGAAACGGTGTTTCGTTGCCGCTTCCCCAAAAATTATTCGTCGCGACTTATCACGAGCGAGCGTGAAATCGCTTCATCCGCGACGACAATAGCTGAATAACAGGCTGGTGATAAGATATAGCACGACTTGACACGCATTTGCTCTTCGCAGGAAGCATCTTTTGAAACACATGGTAACGAGTCGAAGCAGGAAGAGGGAGTGGAGATTCAGTTTCCTTCGCGTGTGTTCACATGTATGCATATGTGCGTACGCGTGAGATAACGGGCGAAATTCCGCAGCTGGGCTCCGCGTCGTCCCGGCCGAATCCCGAGCGGAATCCACGAAATTCGTAAATATTAATGATTGCCGTCGGCTGAGTTTTCATCCCGCGCATCTCCACACTGTGCAACGTGTGTGGAAATTATTTGACGCGTATGAAAAGATCGTGGCCGCGCGCGCGCGCGCGCGTGCGAGACGCTTTCGAAACTGTTTAATGTCGCTAATGCCACACTTCTCTAAATGCATATCGGCACCTTAATCTATGAATAAAAGGCGCACAAAGGTCACGTGCGTTACCCTCGATCGCGAACGCGTGCCCCGTCGTATCGCGGGCGAGCTTTTTTACATCGCCCACCGATCCATCATGGATACGAAAATCGACTGTGATTCAATGGCGGGGAATGAACTTTACACACCGATATATTCGGCCTTCCAACTGGTCCAGTTTGAAATTTTCTGGGATACAAGCGATATTTACACGTAAATACGTCATTATTAATTTAATGATGAAATCTGAAACGCACGATTAATTCAATTTTCAAAGTTTACCGTTACAATTTCAGGTGTTCAAGCATTTCTGAATTTTTTCCAAGTAACAGTGTTCAAATATTTTTATGTTAATATACTTTCAAACATTTCGCATATCCTCCCCTGCGCATCCTCGTAAAACCCGCGTCACTCGCGTTATGTCTTAAACATTAATCAATGTTTCGGATCCACACACAATGAGCAATTCTGTGTTAAAAACAGCCCGCTGAAGTTATGTGTTATCTTAACACGGGGAATGCGTTGAAAGGTCCACAGGTGTAACGTTAAATTGGCGCATTCCCCGTGTTAAATTAACGCGGAATTTCGGTGGGCCGTTTTCAGTCGCGCAAAATGTTTGTACCGCGCACGGGATCGCAGAAACGTCAGCTGCAAAGCAAGTAATTATTAACTCCTTGGATACTTAACTTTCGCGCGAGTCTCGCGACTCTCGGAAGTCGGATTAGCGTCTACGCGTTCACGACGTCCGCGCATATGCTCGCAAGATTCCTCTCTCTCTCTCTCTCTCTCTTTCTCTCAATTGAGGCGTGGGATCCGAGGATCGATCGTTGCATGACGAAGCCGGCGGACACTCGCGTTTTCACATGGGATGCATGAAGATGTGATCCGCGCGAGAGGAACGTCGATAGAGGGATGCTGGATGGTGTACCAAATGGGACGGACCTGAGACGAGCTCCACCCATAAGCCTGCGCTCCGCCCTCGTGAAATTCATTTACCCCGGGGGGTTACCCTGGACCTTTCCACTTAGTCAGATCGGCTCTCTCAACATTGCTGCTCACTCTACACATGACAATCGCGATGCGAGCTGGCCCGAGTGATCGCCGATCTGTCGTTTAATCGCGCGGCGGCACTTCTCGCGGCCGACCGACATGGTGAGCCCCCGATCGTTTCGTGCGATCGCGTCAAACTACCCCCGTCAATCCTCTCGTTAGGTGTGTGCGTGTGCATGTGTATGCGTGTGTGCCTGTGCTTCGCAATGTAGTCGCACCGGTTGTGCGCGCGGGCTTCGGTGCGATCGCGAAAATTTCGCCCTTCGAACAGTGGTCGTGTCGCCTAAGTGCGGAAAGTTTAACGCCGTCCGCGATCCGCCCGAGATTCCACATTCCGATCGTGTGATCGTGAAATCGAGCAATCGCATTGATTCCCGCTAAAGACCGCGATATTGGAGTTGCGAGTTGGACGGACAAAGACGAGAAATCGCGTCTCGTTTTTCGATCACACGGAGAAAAGGATTTGGTTACGATTATGATTGAGACTCGGTTTGATTGAATTACTTTGTTATTGCAACCAAATCATTCAGTATCATTTACTGTGTATAGTACAGTGTATACTACAGTACAGTATATGGTATTATGTAAAATGATCGGGTAGCCGTAACCAAACAGCTTAGCAACTATTTAACCAAATCTTGACAATTGCTGCCAAATCCTTTCTTCAGTGCGCTTGTTCATTACGCGTGAAATTATTTCAAGTAAAAGAAAGTGAAATCTCGTATATTTTCCTTCTCGTTAGAGAGAAGGATACGAATATTTCCGTACGACTTAATTTCCCGACAATTTTCGAAAGGTGCGTGTCGTCGGTGTCGTGCTGTATAGTGTCGGTGATTTCGTGCAGCGAAAGGGCCGGCTTCGTCTCTCGATAAAATTCGTATCTCTTTCAGCTAACGCATTCGTTGAATACAGGGTCGAATCGAGAGAGCAGCGTTACGACATTGAGCGAATTGAGAAGGACGCCAGTGTGTGAAATTATTGCTGGGCGAAGAGGCGAGTGTGAAAACGGAAACGGTTTCTTTCTTTTTTTTCTTTCTTTTTTTTTCGTATAGATAAAACACACAAAGCGACAGCAAATGCGTGCGTGACTAATGCCGACATAAAGATAAACCGCATGGCATATCTGTTGAATGTCAGGGACAATTGAAGACAGCGGCATTATCAATTTCCTGGCGGCGCTATGTGGGCTAATTATATCCTGGATCGTCCGAGCAAGATCCATTCGACAGGCTTGTTTTGTTACCAGTCTCATCAATCCCGTTTAATGTAACATATTTCCCACCGATAATTAGTCATTCGTTCGGGAAACCGTCGTGAATTTCCGCGCTCAAACTCACGATTTGAACTCGTTCGCTGGCGAGTTTGTAAATTTCGAGAAAGCTGCAGAAAAACAGTCTCTTTGTTTATTTACGAATAACGCGTGAATTGACGTGTGAAGCACGAGGGGACGGTTTCAGGACAAACGATGAATTCTCACCGTTAAATTATAGCCAGGTGATAATAGCGGTTCAGGGAGGATTATTCGTGCGACGTCCTGAAAGTTGATACGTTCGATCGACATGTTTGAACGTATTGAATTGATACGTTTTAAAGCGTGATAATACCGTTTAATGCGTTAAATGTGTGATAAAATGTTAAATTAATGCGTTCATTTAATATTTAAATTAAATATTTAAACTTTATTCATTCAAACGTTAAATTAATGAGTATCGAATTAATACGTTGTGTAAGAAGAGTTTCGGCCAAATTGTATACTTACTGTGACGATAACGCGCTTGGATTTGCAATGACGCTTAGTAAAAAATATTCCATCCATCGTTGTTACAGCCGATGTTGACGTACAGCGGCTGCAGCGTCGGAACCGCGGAGACCGAGAATGGCTCCCCGGCGGAGTCGCTGCTGTCCGGCGAAGGAGAGCTGCCGGAGGAAGCCGGCGATTCTCCCGGGACGTCGAGGGACACTGAGGAAGAAGCCACGCTTTCCGACGAGTTTTACTCGCACGACACTGACGAAGAGGAAGAGCAGAGCAAAAGAAGACGGGACCGTCCCAGCTCCGTGAGTGAAGGACATTTCTCAGCGGGAGCGGAATTGTTCTCCACACGTGCAATTTGCGATTTCGCACGATGTTTCCCGTTTGTTTGCACCGTGCTCGCCGAGTTAGAGAGCGGTCTTAATGAAATTCGCGATCATTCACGTAGCTAGACGGCATCTCACCCTCCGGCAGTGGCCATTTGGGATCGCCGCCGCCTCGCGTCGGTAACTTGGGGGTAAGGAAACTGTTCACGAACAGTCGCGAACGATGGAGGCAGCAGAACGTGAGCGGCGCCTTCGCCGAGCTGCGAAAATTAGTGCCGACGCATCCGCCGGACAAGAAACTGTCGAAAAACGAGATACTGCGGATGGCGATAAAGTAAGCGAAGTAACGTAATATCAGTTGTTCGATGATAAACGCTAAGACAGATATCGATGAACGAATTGTGATAATACCCGCTGAAAAATAACGCTCGTTGACGCCTGAAACAGCCGGTGAACGATTATGTTGACAGAATTGATTTTTCGCAGGTACATATCGCTACTGAGCAGCGTTCTCGAGTGGCAGAAGAGTCAAGACCGCAACGGGGTGCAGGATGTGCGGATCAAGTGCGAGTCCCACTTGAGCGGACAGAATTCAGCGGCGTATCACACGAAGTCAACGGTGGCGTACCTGAAGCAGGAGAAGCAGAATCCCGACGGCCCGCACGTCTTTCGCGTCAATTACACCGCGCAGAGGCACAGCTCGCAGCACGTGACGTGCGAGAAAAACGGCAGCAACTTGCTGATGATCGCGCCGACCGGGCTCAGCGTTTCCGCCGCGGGAAAACGCTGCGTCACACCTGCCGTCGTCGTTAGCCAAGGCAGCTTTCACAGGTGAATCACGTCGAACTCACTTCTGCAAAGAAGAAGGAGGAATAGCCGAGTTAGAAGGAATCGATCACCGCGTACGATTCGCAAATTCTGCTCGCAAGCGCGTTTGATTGGGTTATTAACATCGTTAGACTTTTCGTTGAAGTTTCACATTGAAATCTTGCGTCAAGCTTTCTTCTTCTCTTTGCGAAAATTGAAACGACGAGTCAGAGATAAGTAATTTATTTGACGATGTTATTTTGTAATGTGATTTTGGAACTTTTTACATCACTTTAGATCTCGCGCTGATTCTCTATCCTCTGTCACTGAACCACGCGAGACAAGGATCAGGTTGTTCTGTAAATCGAAATACCTTTGAATTAATTCGTTTTTCCGCCGACATACCTGAACTTTCGTTGTAAAATATCGTTTCGCACAATACAGTTGAAGTTACCGAGGACTGATTTGAAATACAACGAATTAGCGAGAGTTCCGCGGAATTATCACGGCGCCGCCTTCGTTTGCAGCAACGGCAACGGAAATCTCATACGTTCTCCGGTGAGCGGACGGACCTCGGGTTTCCCGAAATCACCGCAGGTTTCGTCGGGCACCAGCATGGCGCCTAACGGAAGCTCCTCGTCATTGACCGGAAGCGCGCCCGTTACGAACGGTGTGGGATCGAGCGGATCGAACTGCGGCCAGAAGAGGTTCAAGATCGAGCGGGAAGAGGAGGAGCAGGGAGCTTCGAGGGATTGCCGAGCCCCGCCACTACCCGCTCACAGTGTGCCGGTGAGGAAAAGGGTAAAGGTCACTTTTGTAAAGGACTCGGGCTCCGGATTCCGCGGCGATCTGTGTGGCGTAGACCGCAAGTGAAAGAGGGAACATCCTGTGCGCGACGCGAGCAGTCGTCGTGATTTTGCTTTCTTAAGAGCGCATCGTGTAAATATTTCTTTCATGCTGTATTCGACAATAATTGGTGTCATATGGGAAAAAGAGAAAGGGAGAGATAAAGACGTAAAATCGGATAATCCGCTCGACAGTGATCTTCGATTAATAATGAGTCGGATGTTTCATTTATGATTACTCGAGTTTGCTCCAATGACATTTTTTTCAATTCACGAGTTTGTTGTCACGCCGCCTAAGCGTCTAATTCTATGTATTTCACACAACACCGCTTGAGTATCGATGAAATAAAAAATCCACTCTTGTCACAAAGAGGAATCTATTTTTTGCAAGGATATCGATATGTCGCGAACAGTTCTCTCATTCGGTGGACATTTAAGTTCAAATAGTTTCGTACAAAAAGATTCGAAAGTGATCTCAGCCTATATTCATTAATTCTTCATTCGTGTACATTGAAGTGTTCTAATCCTGGATCCTCCGGAGCGTTACACATTAATAGGTATATTAAGTCGGGTATTAAAATGTGTGAAAAAAATGTATTCTCTATATCGGGAGATATATCGCATCGGAGAGGAGAAAGATGATCTCCAAACGGAGCTGAAGAAGCTGATGCGGTCAGAAGGACATCCGATTGGTTCTGGCGAACGATAAGCGCGACCGATGGGACGTTCTTCAAAGATTATTTTATTACTTACGTTGCGTTACATCGTTTGTACAATATATCTGAATTGCATCGCAGTTGCACGCTCGGAAATAGTGTGACATGATAAACACGGATAGGAAACTCCCAGTTACATGGTTCATTGTAAACCCCTTACAAATGTAATCACGTGTCAGGCTCCCCGTGTCCGGTTGGTTGCCGAGTTTATTGTAGATCTTGTATATAACAGAATATATCGAATTTTTTTGGTTTCCTTTATTCATACATCCATCCGTTTATCGCGTTTATTCTACGGTGAACACAGCAAACACCTGAATGCTTAACAGTTATCAAGAGACAACAATTCCATCGTGTACTCCTCGAGAATCGTTTACATTCGTTACACGTTCAGCCTTCGTAAAAATTCAAGATTCGACACTAGTCCTCGCTCTGATAAAAATGACAGACACCGTCCAACACAGAATTGACATCGGATATCGCAGCACATCGAATTTGACATACGTATTTGGCACTTACCACTATAGTGAGCGAAACGATTGTTCTTTTGTTTTTTTTTTTTTCATTCGCGGGAAGAGATCAATATATCCCCACTCGTGTTTGTAAGGTAGGAGGCTCCAGTCTCGTCTTACGGCTATATCCTGGCTTCCAGTGGATATTAAATACTTGATAACTGAAGAAACTTAATAATCCGACTGGCACATACAAACATATTACCGTAATTGTCACGGCAACTAAAAACAAATTGTAACCAACGTCTGCGTATCTCGTTATATTTTACACGATAAACACATCACAAGATATAAATACCAAATTCAACAGCGAAAGAAGAAAGCTGAGGACACGAAATATTCATAAGTGTTCCGAATTCTCTCTTCGTTTCTCATAAAATGTTCTCAAAATAAATGCGAATGATTGACGTGCGCGTATATGCAGCGGGAATCGGATCTACCCTGCTTAAAAAATCCAATAGAATTGCATGAGTAAAATGTCAATATAATCGAATCGTGTTTTTGGTTCTTAAATTTAAGAGAAAGAGAGAGATTTGTTATCTGATACATTTCGATAAATTTTCTTTTTCTTCTTATATCCTACATATAACCTACCGTTCAAGTTACTTGTTTATCGATAAAAAAATTATATATTTTTAAAAATTAAATCTCACATTGTAATTTTAAACGATGAAATAAGAGAGAAATTGCATTTCTATAACATATTATTTATAGGAAAAAATAGAAATCTTTTCAATTAAAGTAGATTCATATAGATATCGAATTGTAATTCTTTAATTGGGTTAGACAGATCAACATGTAATATAGAGAGACATACATTTAGATGAGATTTTAGTTATTTAAACCCCTTGACTGCCAATGAATTCTGGTCATCTTGGATTTTGCGTTCACTGCCGCGAAAATGCATTTTCTCGTCATGAAATATTTTGCGTATATTAAGACACCTAAGTGAGTTTATCACTGAGTGTAAAGTGTAATTAAGGGTTTTCAGATGTGCCGAACATAATTTTGAAGTCGTATTCGCAGAATGTCGATTCGAAAGCAAGACGTGACTGTTGAAGGAATGAGAATCTGTCGAATTTCTGAATATGAGTTGGATCGAAGCACGACGGGTTATGATGAAACATCACAAGATACGAATCTATCTCTATCATCTTCTATCGGCCTTTTCAAGCAGGATAAGTTAATCCTAACCGCGAGGATGTACGAGCTTCCTACCTCGTTGAATCAACACACCGACACAAAAGTGTCCGACCGATCCTCCGATCGGCCTCCGCCGCAACGACTCCACTTCGCACCATCTTCCAGCCACCCGTGTAAGCCGGATAATGTATTTTCATTTCGTCGAGGGGGACTACTCCGAAAATAGGCGACAACGGCGTCGATCGTTTCGCGAGACGCCCGCCCTCGAGAGCGTTCCCTACGTCAGGTACACCTTGTACCTGGTGCTGTCCCTCTTCTGCTGCCGTTCGGACGGCAGTTTCTTGGGGACGAAACGCTCGTCGTTCCACTCGATCGGCGGCACCGGGGTGGCGGGTCGCTCGTCGCTCTGGCTGAAGGCCCTCCGCGGCGGCGCCTCGAGGATCTGCCGGGTGCTCTTGCACTCCACGCTGCCGCGCTTGCTGAAGTTTACGCTGGCGTAGCTGACGTCGCTGACGCGCGTCTCCCGCTTCGGGAGGTCCACCTCGACGTAGCTGACGCGGCCCTCGCGCGACCTCGCGCTCACGTCCGAGTTCCGTTTGTTCTCTTTGTTCTCCACCCGCTTGGCAGGCGTCTCGAGCCGGTCCCTCTTCAGCGGCTCCATGAGCTGGCGAGACATACGAGACTCCCGCCGGGCCTTCTCGTCGTAGTCGTCCGAGTAGGTGCGCCGTTCGCGACCTCGCGGCCGTTCCGCGCCGCGGTCCTCGCTGTAGCGCAGCTTGTCGGTGAACTTTCGCAGACGCTCCTCGTGTTCATCCATGAACACGTCGCCGGCCGCGTTGCAGTTGTCCTTCGGTCTTCGTCTCTCCTCTTCGCGCTCGGCCTTGGACTTCGAGGAGAACGATCGTGAGAACCGGAACGCACGAAGAAAAACAAAATTAGTACAGATTCGAGACGCATATTTTCGTATGCAAGCAGGAATCCGCGAACTTATGTGTGAAAATGAAACTTGCTCTTATATACACGAGGAAATTCTGCGTTACGCTCGTAAAATAGTTCCGCCGAAAGTATCAGATTCTTGTTCGAGAATTCATTTCTATGAATCGAAGAGGATCAATATCGGGCGGACGAAACGATATATCTCCAAACTAGTGCAATCTTTAGTCTGGAGATATCATTCTTTCTGTACTCCATATTTTTTTCTTCTCATTTCATGAAAATTGTTCTTGTAATAACATGAATATATTTTTATATTGCTCAAGAGCAAATTTCATCTTCTCATATATGATTATATTCTTGCTTATACATGAGAATACGAGTGGATACTAATTTCTTTTTCTCCGTGTAGCTTTCAACGCCGATCGTGGGTACCTTGAATCCGCTCATCCTGTCGTTGAACTCCAGGTCCTGGCTGTTCCGGCGGACCGGCTGATAGTTGGTCCTCTCCTCCTCGCTGCTACTCTTGCTGATCCACACGTTTTCCCGCTGGGAACTGCCGGCCCTCTTCGGCCACTCGTTCTCCGTCTTGAAATCGTACAGGTCCCGCATACGTTGATTGAGCTTGTTCGTCCGGTCGTTAGCTTCGACGCAGCTCGAGGAACGGTCTCTGCTTATGTCCAGCTCGTCTGGACATTTAATGTTACGGTATGATATCCGATTAAAGCGCGAGAAGATGAGAGAAAGAGAGAGAAAGAGGAGGGAGAGAGAAGCTCTTACCTTGCTTTTGCAACTGTCCCTTCTCGCCCTTCACCGGCGAGAACTTCCTCGGCGGCTGCCACTTGGAGTTATCCGAGTCCTTGCACGGTCCCTCGTCCTTCTTGCTGCGCTCCATGATGGAACCTCTGCTCTCGGGACTCACCTTCGGCACGGGGTCGGGGGACGGGTTTTTCGCGAAGGTCATCCACCGATTGGCCGAGACCTTCGTTACCTCGCAGTCGACTCTCGCGAGCGGCGACGACTCACGGCGAAATTTGCCGCCGTTGATCTGCGGCACCCACCTGGAGAAGAAGAAAGGCCCGTCGCAACTGCGCGCCCGACGATTTCACGACACACTTCGTGTGAACACGCATAAGATAAACACGTATGAGATAGCAATCTCGAGCGCTCGATAAGAGCACACTGTCGAGCATCAATGATTACTCTCGGTTATTACAGCTCTTCCCTACGATCAACGTCTGGGTTACTTGAACACGAGTTGGACGCGTGATAACGTGAAAAGACGACTAGTTCCAGTCAGAGCCGCGAGGAGACGAGGCGACTGATGACTGAGAACGCGAGAACGCAGAGAAGAGAAACGGGATTATACGTAGGGAAGACGAGACACCCATCGCAGACATCCGTCGCAGACCATGAAACGACTACATCGCGATCAATCCCGCCTAATCTCAACGACAAGCTCCGCTCACGGCAATTCTCGCTTTCGGACGTGGGAAAAGTAGGCGCGGCCAACCTCGTGGCGATGGTGCGCGGGTCGCTGCAGTCCGTGTGCCTCCGCTGCTCGATGCTGCGCTTGTCGTGGCCCCTCAGGGCGGTCACGTCGGCGCTGTGACTCCTGGAGCCGGGCGGGCGCGGCACGAGGAGCTCAGGCTCGATCCTGACGACGGAGGGCCGATGATCCTCCGAGACGTTCGGCTTGGCTGGCCACCTCTCGACATCCGGCTCGTCCTCCGCGATATCTCGCTCGTCCCGTGACAGTCTCTTGCTGCTGCCGGGGCTGGTTTGCTGGCCGCGCGGCAAGTTTCTCGGCAGCGGCGTCCACTTCGAGATGTCCAGCTTGCCGACGTCGCTGATCTCCGTGTGCCGGCGCTCCTCCACGCGACGCTCCGTGTACTTCTTCAGGCAGTCCACGTCCGCGCTGCGGCTACGCTGACTGCGCGGTGATCGGGATGGTCGTCGAAGCCCGCTGTTGCCCGCCGGGCTAACCCTGTCCTGCAGCGCCAGCGAACACAACGTTCATTGAGAGGCACCGATTGCTCGGGGGTGATGGACGCTTAGGAGCTCGTGCACGTGTTCGGGAATCCTTCGGGCGGGTGCTTCGAAGGAGGAACTTTGCCGGAGGCTAGCTCGTCGTTTTCGCGCGTTTTATTCCAACATTATTTTCTCTTCTCACACTTCTCTCGAGAAAGTACATAGGAAAATAGAAAAGTGTTAGGCTCGAGTAATTACTCCGATAATTCTCAGAAAAATTTTCACTCGAACTGAGTAAATTTCACTTGGATCACGTGAATATATTTCACTTGGATAATTTACTTGGGAAATATTTTACTTCGATCAAGCGAATATGATGTGATTCAAGCAAAAATTTGCTAAGGAGTATTGAAGTACCTAATAAGCAAGAAATCAGTAACTTAACGTTATTAAAATGACATTTTGTAACATGTAACGTTTTCAAACGTGTAATTCTTAACGTTGTATGCGACGTTATTGTTAACAATATTTGGTCCGAACATTAAAAATAATATTTCTACACTATGATATTAATATTTAGGAATGTTTTAGTATAAAGTAACGGTTTAAAAACATTTATAAAATATTATTTTCGTAATCTCTTGTAAAAATTCATCGAAGTTTTTACATTATATTTATAGAAGAAGGATATTCCGTACTTTTACGTGATATCGGTGCGTCCTCATTTTAATAACCAAAGTTATTTTCTTATAAATAAATAAATAAATAAATAAATTTAGTTATCAATAATCAAAGTTATATTTTTACTACACAAAGGGATAAGGAGAGCAGGATTAAGAGAGAGGTTAAAACATTTAATAAATTGTATTTTCTCTCGAGTTCAATTTCTTCGATATAGAGTATCTACTGATAAAATATGCAACATGCTATCGATGCTCTACTGTCGCTACACCAAATTCGATGATAAAGGAAGTGCTCTTCATGCTTTCGGTCATAGTGGAGATACATTGTATAGTGGAGGTAATATATTTATTTAAACGCAGAGAATACAAGGAATTCGAGCGAATAACTAAGAAATTAACCGATCAGGAAGATACATAGAACCATACTTCGCCCAGCAAGGGAGGTTAGAGTCGATAAGGAGGTGCATCGGGGTAACTGGTATTACCTAAGTAAGGTGAAGCTTTGCATAATCCGATATGTGCAGAATTCCATGCGCCGCAGATGCGACGTGCAAGCTGGCGCCGCACGCGCGTGGATTGATCTTGGAATTGTGCAGCTCGGCTACTTGGCTGCTACATGCCGCCGCTGGGTCGCCACTGGACTCCAGAAAACCATTCCAGAATTCATTTCCTGCAGAAAGAGTAATAGCTGTCTCACGTACAAGTATCAAAAAAACATCACATTTCATACACGCAAGATGAGAAATTGAGAAAAATGTCATCTCCGCTGCTTCTTATATTTCATTATTACTAAAAAAAATTGTATACCCTAGTATTAATTAAAAAATTTTATTCTTCTAAGAAAAATTAAAAAAAAACATTGTACAAAAAAATTTCCACGTCTTTTTAATAAATATTATTTCTGCTGCTTTCTATATTTTATTATTAGTAAACCAATTTCTTATATCTTATTAACCTTTCAATCAATTTTATTTCCGCTGCTTCTCGTATTTTACTATTATTAAACATAATTCTTATGTTTTATTATCATTTAAAAAATTTCGTTTACTTGGATAAAATTAAAAAAATGTATCTCAAAAAATGTTCACGACTTTTTAATATATACTTTATCTGTAATATTAACATTAATACTAACGTGATAAATAAGTGAATACCTAAATAAATAAAAATATAAAGGATGCGATATAATTAAAAATCAATGTTCAAACCTGGCAGCGAGTTTCCGTCCCAGGCGTAAGTCACGACGAGTAGTTTGTTCGCGTCGTTAGCACGGAACAGTCTGCTGTGCGGCTCCCTCAAGGCGAAATGAATCTTGATGTCTGCAAATAGTATCATCATTATACATTCAAGAAGAGCACCACGCATATATCATCACATGTCGATTATTCACTAACCGCCAAGATAATCGCCGTTTCCTGCGCCGCCGCACTTCTGTTGCTGGAAATAAGCGAACATAATGTCGGAAACGTACTTGAGCTTCTTGTTCATTTTTTTAATTGCGATCTCGAATGTTTTCAGAAAGTAGACTTCTTGATCCCGAATTACTCTCCAGACACCTGCGAATGGTCGTCACTTAATTTAGTTAATATTCTCAGGAGAACATGAGGGAGATAATTTTAATAAATAATCGATATCAAATTGGAGAGAAGTCGCATGTATTATTAATGTCAACGAATTAGCAAATTAGGATACGTTCATCGGTCTTGTATCGCAGTTTCTTCGCACTTAGATATTAAATACGCGTATCCCCGAGTATAAATGCATCTAACGGCTTCAGTCAAAGCTAGTAGCTAACTAATACGGGCTGGATGAAATTTTTCATCTCGTTTTACTGACTGATTATTCATATAAAATGTAAAATCGTTTTTACGATCTAGCCGTATGATTTTCTTATTACGTATCAAATATGATGAAGCCAGACAGTGCTGTCTATTCTAAAATATATAATTTAGCTATCACACGGAAATAAAAAATTAGCTGCAGTAACTAAATTAATTATAACATATGAATACCCGAAACTTGTGCAGCGTAAGCAATTTTAATTGCTGCTGTAACAAAGGAGCTAATCTTTTTTTTCCGTGTGTATACCCGCCACTGACCATCAAAAAATGAGCAAATCGAAATCGAAAGTGCGTTATTCCACGAAAATGTGAAAAAAGCAGAAGCGAGCGTCGCATTACCGCCCGGCGAGCAATTATGACTTTTTGATACTTGATTCGGCTTCCGAGTTACGATCCTTCATCTCGTTATTATAACTTCGTTTGTTCAACCGTCAGCTAACTCGTTTATCTAGCCATTATCTAGGAGAAGTGAGCGCAACATTACTGGTTAATGGCGACGTTAGACAGAAATTTACCACCTCGTGGCACGTAGACGCACCACGTAGAGGCTCAGTTTCTGCCGGTCACTGCCACTGTAAATAACGCCGCGCTAAAACATCACGAGCGTTATCGCGCGCGCTTACGTTGCGAACGTCCCACGTGTGTATGTATGCCCGCCTTTTGTTTGTACGATTTAACATTTTACGGAAGAGGTCGCACTAACCCAGGCCGAAACCGACTACGTGCAGGAAAGCAGTGGTGTTTTGCTTCTCGGCGCGGGTGTTCGCCTCGAGCAGAATTATTTCGACGGAGAGCAGGGTGCGCTTCATGTAGTTCTCGATATCGAAGACCGTTTGGCTGGCCAACGACAGGTAACGCCTATTGTCTTTCGCCTTGATACGTTTCACGACCTCCTCGTACAGCAAATGGTAATCCTCGCCGTAAAACTTGGCCCATAAAACAAGTAAACCGCGTTTTTCCTCGGCCGTGCCGCCTTTCACTACTGGCCCGTACCTGTCTCGCACAGATTAATCCTCTCAAGAAATTTCATTCGCACGTCGCGTGAAGAAAAGAGAAAAAGGAAGAAAAACTCGAGGGGCGTACATTATAACGTGGATTAACTTCCGAGACCGCTATTCATCAAGTTTCAGTATGTATTTACCACCCGCCTCCGCACAGACGGGATCCCGTTTTCTCTTCCTTTCGTTCTCGTAAACGCGAATTTATAGAATCCTCGCGTCAGCAAGGATACACAAGAGTATACACATCTTTCGTCAATCGATACCAACGTGTCTCAAGAGCGAAATTCGAGCGGTTTCTCCCAATTTCTCCCTCTCGAGCAAACGTCGGTTCTACAGACTTGCGCCCTAACATAATAATAATAATAATAACAACAACAACAATTAAGTGCTTACCCGTTATCCACGGTATTCTGCAATGATGTGATAAGGATATCTTGGTACTCCATAACTCGGGCCTTTTCAAATCTACGCATATATATAGATAAAAGGTCAAGGCAAGGTGTATTGTTGCGTATTTTCTTATCTGCAGTAACACGCAATATACGTCTGATTTTCGTGAAGGTCTCTTTTAGGGGAAACATTGGTCGTACTAACGGGACGTAGAACGAAATAAAAGTATCTCTACTGAAACATTTCAACGATACTTGATACGGTCACTTCATGGTCACTTCGAAAATCTTTCTCTCTCTCTCTCTTTCTCCTTCTCTCCTTGCAAACACGGAGTTGCACGCGAAGGAGACAGAAATAGAACACGCATGCCGTGACGCCACCGGAACGTCACAGTTCGCACGTGTAAAAATATTCCTGAAGCGGGCGGGNATGCATAAAACCTTGTGCCTACGACACCCATAATAACCCCTCGAGGTTGGACGGCGTCTGGGTCACTGCTCACGACGCCTCTGTTCTTTCGCGCGCCGTCGTTTATGAACTCCGTGTGAGACGACACCACCATCATCGCCGATAATTTGACCTCGTCGTAGCTCAGGCATTTCGTTAGGACCTGTTTGTTCAAATTACGGGGGACGTTTATTGAGATATCGCGAGCCGTCGCCCGGCGAAGAGCGTACATACTCCCATCGCGGCTGTGCTTCGACTTCAAATTTCGTCCCGAAGTATCACGCGCGCGCGCGCGCGCACGAAAGAGAATTCAATTCTGACGTTGAGCGTCGTCGGACAACGGTTAACGGGGAATTAAATCCGTCTCGTAATTCATAATATAATTGTGCCTGCAAAGTTTTCACACGCGCTCGTGCATAGAGAAAAATATCATTCCACCGCTGAGAAAAGCGATTGTTCCGGTTTACTTTCCTTCTTTTAAGTTAAAATTATTCTCAACGGAAAATGTTTTCTCGATAATGGTCTCGAATATGTTCATTACGAATTTGAAAAAGGCTCACCGCCACACGCTCAAAGGAAGAATATATTCTCCTACTTCAGGATATGCTGTAAATTTATCGAGGAAAAATTAAATTCGGTGAATTCGAATACGCACAAGTCGAAGTTTGTTTTGACTTAATATTCTTGATTGAACTAAAACCAACGGCTCAAATCTACGATACAATTTCCCAGTGTTGACCAGTGCGATTCTTACGTAGCTGTTTTGCGGAGTATCGAGTCGATCGAGAGGTTTATTGTTACTCACCAACGGTTCCTTCTCGCGATCTGTACCGACGCTCTCCCACCCGTCGACGCCGGTCTTGTTGTCGGCTAACTTCCATCGATCCTCCGAGCCGTAGAAAACGACCGCCCTCTTGTCCAATAGCCGATGGATGAACTGGATGAGACTCAGGTCCCTGTAGAAATGCTTCTCGACTGAACTGCCGTATAATCGCTTATGCTTCAGCCATCGTGCGATCAGGGGCAACATCGCCTCGTGTATCAGAGGATACACCGAATTAGCGTTCAGCTAAAAAAAGGAAAAAATCGTCAAAGAAGACGTGAAAATTGGTATCGACGAAGATCGGCACACGACGGTCGCAAGTGAAATCGTGCGAACTACGGCGATCCTCCTTCGAAAACTTTCGCTCGACTCGTCCTGAATGCTCAACCAAACCGAGTCGTAACTTAAACCGTCGCTTAGACCGTGACCGGGAGCGCTGTTGCTAATTTGTACAAACCTCAATGACCTCCGGGCTGGTCCCCCTGGTCTTCAGGGCGGCGCACGTCATGGTGCTGATCGGGAACTTCACAGGAAACGCGTCGCTCCGCTTCATTAACTCCGACAGGTTGGTCGGCGGGGGCACGGAAATGTCCAGGCATCTCTTCAGCAGCTCCTTCGTGTCGTCGTCGAAGGGCACGCCGTCGGGTGAGCCCAGTGTGTTCTCCCACGAGATTTCCGGCGGCTCCTTTATCAGCGCCTCCTGACTCATTTCGTCCGCGCGCCGATTGTTCTGCAAGACAACGACGAAAATCGCCGGTTCATTTCCATCTCATAAAACGCAAAGACGCATCGAGGACGCAGAGGAGACTTGCGGAGACTTGTGCGCATCGCGAGATGCGGCCGAACATGAGGGCGTCGAGGGGATCGAATGGGAAGAGAAACCGACGGCGAGTCCATCTTTGACTCGACAATTGTCGCGACGTTCGACGATTTTGCGCTTTGTTGTTGCGGCGACTCGCCGTCAAAGGCTACGGGATCGATTCTAAGGAGAATTTGCAAAACAGTGATTCGCCGTGCTATTAATACAGCCCCCCCGCTGATTACAGCAAGGACGCCGGTCGCTTTGACCCTTGGGCATGAAATCCGTTAAGTAGCGTAAAATGTATCTGTTCACCCTAGCGAGCGGCTTGACGTTCACTCTCTTCGTGGGCACACGCGCAAACACACACACACACACACACACACGTATACCGAAGCCTGTGACGGCCAGTTTACTTCATTTTTCTATTTACCGATTCTGTTCACCTGAACGACAGGGGTGAGCGAAGGCGACTCGGACTGTCTTGTATTGTTAAACAATTGTCAATATTGTTCGTTATTGACAGGCTTACCGACAGATGGTCGTGGTAATTTTCATTTCCACGCAAGAGAGACACGAGGACGGTAACGCGCTTGCGAAATTGATCGTTTCGAACTCCCCGTGGATGCACCCCTTTCGCACCTTTCACCGCCGAACTTCGAGATTCTTCTCGAGTATATACAGGAAAGAAGTGTTAGATTCCAGTAAATAATTGCCCCGATACTCCTTAGTAAATTTTCACTGCGGACCGCGCAAACAATATTTACTCGATCCAAGTGAAATATTTCCCGAGTAAATTATCCGAGTAAAATGTTTACTTGATCCAAATAAGATTGACTTAATCCGAGTGAAAGTTTGCTAAGGAGCGTCGGAGTAATTATTTGCTCGAATCTAGCCGCTTTTTCTCCACGTACAAGACCTGTTCGTTCGGGGGCTCGGCAGGAGAGAGGAATTCGGAAAGAATTCGACTGTGCTGCGCGTGTCTCCGACAGACCGCGCGATTATGATTTCCGGTTTCCTTGGTCCGCAGAGGGAGGGGAGTACAATCTCGGTGTATCTTCCGACGAGCTCTCCGAGTTGGAGCGGAGACGAAAGTAAACGGATGAATCACACTCGATGTTGGTTTCACGTCACACACGCGAATCACACCCGGAATCGAGAGCGGGCCTGTGAGAGAGACCGCTGGCGTTTTCCCGATTTCGCGACTCTCCCGCGGGATTCTCGAGTGCTCGCGGATCACCCGAGAGACGGAAAGGTGAACTGACCGCGGACGCGAGTGGCAGGGGAATTAAATCGCATTATCATGCGCATTGCCGAAAATATAAGCGCGACCGCTTATACGGTTCAGCGTATAAGCACGTCGTCGATAAACAACTCACCCGACGGACGCAACAGGCGAACAGCGACATGACCGTACGATCGTCGAAGTCAAACTTGCCTGAGGGAGAAAGAGAGAGAGAGATATATATATATATATGTGTGTGTGATATATGTATATATATCTCTCGTGATCTGACGGTGATGTAATCGCGACGGTATGTTGAATTTCGCGGATTCCCCCGTGAGAAACGGCCGGCGGCACGGTATCTAAGAGAGAAGCGTGTCCGGTCGCGCTGGTCCGCCGCTCTCTCTTCGACGGTCATGCGCACCTGTGGCGCGCTGGGCGCGCACACTTTTCTCGGTATCCCTCGGGACCGCGGATACTTCGGATGCTTCTCGGGAAACTAACGGACGTTTCTCAAAGTGGTCTCCTCTTTCTCTCTCGTTCTCTCGCCCCGCCAATAAATAGATAAGTGGATCGCCGTAAATAAATCAGGCGAGAGTGCGGTCCATTCGACGTGCGAGGCGTTCCTGCGCATTGTGCGGACTTAAGCTCGCTTCATACGGTGCGAGCGATTTCGCGGGCACGCGCTCGGAGCGCTGTGCGATAACGTTGGAAGCTTCTCCACGAAGTTGCAGCCATGGTCGGTCAGCCCGATGTGTGCGGAGCGCACAGTGGTGAAAATCGTCCGCGACTCGAGGTAGACAATATTGAATGATCGACAGATGGAAACGGCCGGATGATCGCGTGATCGCTGTCGATGTACTTCCGACGCACCGGCGCGTCAAAGGAGCCAGGCAAGAACTATTGCGGCGTGGCAAACATAGAAATCACGCACGCACCCGCCGATGCACGGAAGCGTCCAGACAGGCTTGCACGACAGCTTGCACGAAGTAGCACGGAAAATTCTATCAAGTCCACGCGACGATAGATGCACGCACGCTTCAGTCGTGTTATTTGTAACAGAGGTACTCGGTAGAAGAGGATCATTTTCAATTTCGAGGGTAATTGCGTTGCTCGACGTGCCCTGAAAAATGAGTTCGGTTGGATCTACCTGTCAATGGACAATTAAACGCGTCTTGGTCAGAGGAATCAGAATTTCCGGTTATATCCACAGAGATGAAAGAAATGCTAGATTTAAGTGAATAATTGGTCCAATATTCCTTAGCATATTTTTACTCAAGTGATCAAGTGATATTTACTTAATCCAAATAAACAATTGCTAAGGAGTATTGGAGCAGTTATTTACTTGAATTCGGCACTTTCTGTCTGTGTAGTAAATAATTAACAGTGACAATACTCATCAATGTTAATAATTTCTCGCTCAACAATGTAATATGCGTTATATATAACAGTTATATCGTTGAATGGAAAATGATAACATTGTTGCGATGTTACTGATGGTTGATGTTTCCTGGGTAAGAACCAAATATGCTTTGTGAGAAACTAGAAATTTTGTCTCCTTCAACCAAAACGCGTTCGGTCGTTCATCACCAAGTAGATCCAGCCGAATTCATTTTTCCGTGCGAACACATTGTTGGCTGATCATGAAGAAACGCGCATTTCATTAGTCGAATACATTGTCGGCTGGTCCGCGACGTTATCTCGCGCTTCGACAATGTGCATGGTATAACTGAGATTGATAATCAAATAACGCGAGGAATGAGAGGAATGAAGGATATACCTCGTTCGGAATGAAGAATCACGAGAGCCCCGAGAGCATTGCAAAACCTTGCACAATATGCTCTTATGTTGCACGATACGCATGCGTTACGGTCGGATCAGTGACAGGTACACGTCATGCAACTTGAAGGCGTCTTCCGACGTAAACTCTGCGCGATGTTGCAGTTGCCCAGCACGTATGCGCCTATGTGTGTGTGTGTAACACACACATTTTAATAATAAACATGACGGAATACGAAGTTCTATGGTGAACCGTAAAGATGGAATTTCAGGCGCACGCGTTGTAAAATTTGATTGAGAAGTAAAATATTCAGAGAGCCAAGATAATGTCTCTGTGAGAGAGAGAGAGAGAGAGAGAGAGAGAGGGCGTATGCGCGCGTCCACGTGTACATGGACATAAATTGAAAATAAGTTCGGTTGAATCTATTTAACAATGAACAGCCAAACGCGTCTTGGTTAAAGGAAACCGAATTTCTGATTATAAGAATCAAATTTGATCGGTGAGAACTAAAAATTTTCCTTCCTTCAACCGAAATGTATTTGGTTGTCAGGAAGGTTCGATCAAGCTTATTTTTCAGTACGTTTACAAGATCAAGATAAAGGTGAAGATACACGTTCCAGTAATGCACGATCGCCGACAATAAGGATAATTCCACAAAATGCATTCTCACATTTCCATGAAAGAAACTTTCCGCGTTTATCTTACACGACGCATGTTGTGTCACCTCTGACGCGGTCAACTGATGACTGGACTGCGGAAAAGTTCGTATCGATTATCATACGCACGGGTGTAGCTGAAGCATTCGGCACCCGGGATATCGAGGCTTCCTCTTGATAGTTGCGAAAGAGGCAATTTTGAAATATGCAGAAGAATAATCCAACTGCGTTTGCAGTTTGTCCTTTTTTCTCCTCCTCTCGATAAATCTTTCATTCACTCGCGCTGCTATTTTTATTCTGGCTGGAGAAATGTAAACGCGTTAATCTCCAGCTTTTCCTCCTCGGCACGATACTAATAATAAAAACGAGCGATTGCAACGGATAAATGCTTTTAACGCCCGTTATCAGGCGATTACGGACAATCGAGGAAACATTTTACGATTTGCTCGTGGCAGAATTTAAAGCGCACTACTGCAAAAAAAATTCCACTTTTGGGATTCAACATTCGAAAGGAAAGAGATAACTTGAGTGTCAATATATGACATACTGTATATTACATCGAACATGAGGCGCCACGAAGTTGCGAATCGCGTAAACAGCCGGCCTCTATCGAATGTCGCGGAAACTGCGAAGTCGGCGAGCAAACGGTAATTTCACAGAAAATTCCTTCGGTCGTCCGTTCATCATTTTCTCGTTAATCAAAGATCTAAATTACATAATAATTACATAATTATCTAAATCTAAGTTGTAGATAACAATTCGACACAAAAAAATCATTTTTTTAATCCTCATAACTGTTAAACTTATTTCCAAACCGGCAAAAATTCATGTTTAAAAATCGAATAAAGATTATTGCAAAAATTTCACAGTTTTGCAATGCATGTAATCTTTATTTTACAAAAATACATGTATGTGTTTTAAATATAGTACAATATGGGGTTAAATTCTTTATCTCCACGACGTAATAGCTGCTTGTATAAGACAAAATCTTATTGACGTAAAATCAATTAGAGAACAATACACCTGCAATAAATCGTCATATTAAAAAGCAAACGATTTTTTCGTCCCGAGAGATTTTACCGTGTTAATTTTTTGTGAAGCAACTGCGCCATCTAAACGATAAGATAAATTAGAGTAAAAATATTATTTTACAACGTTTACTACTATTACTTTATTTTATAATGCGAGAAATCGATAAAGCAATTTGTTATGCGGAATGCAAACTGATAAGCGGGATGATAACACGTTATACGCATTTCTCGAAGCGTGC